ACTCAAAGTCATACTATCACTATCCTCATTCGTGGACATGGCGAAAGGGTGGGCCCGTATCCCACCATGGCGTTTGTGGACGCAGTCGAGTGAGCAGAAGGGCTATCGATCATCTGTGCTGGAGCATGAAGGCCGTCTATCATGGAATCAGATATAAGGGCTCAAACGCTCGGCTCCATTGCTCTACAGCAGCATCTTCGGCAGCGTTCTCGCTTCGCACTGTTGTCTTCTTTTCTGTCGATCTTTACAACTCAACACTCGTTACTTTCATCGCATTAAGCCGAGATGAAGTCTTTTGCCATCCTTGGGACGGCTCTTTTGGGCCTCCTCGCTCCGGTAACAACCGCGATAGCGATCCCGTCTGAGATCGCTGAGCTCGCGCCTTTTACGCCAAAACGAGATGGCCTCGAGGAACGTCAGTCGTCAACGGCATGTGTCAACGGTCCCACTACGAGGAATTGCTGGACCGCTGGGTTCAACTCTTCTACGGACATGTACACCTCATGGCCTAATACCGGCGTGGTTCGCTCCTACAATCTACGCATCGAGAATACGACTTGCAACCCTGACGGTGCTGGCTCAAGGGTTTGCATGTTGATCAACGGAAGAACTCCAGGTCCCACCATCGTTGCCAACTGGGGTGATACCATCAGAATCACAGTTCGCAACATGCTTCAATCCAATGGCACTTCCATCCACTGGCACGGCTTCCGCATGCTCAATAAGAACATCCAGGATGGTGTCAACGGCGTTACCGAATGTGCGGTAGCACCCGGCGACCTCAAGACGTACGAGTTCCAGGCAACCGAATACGGCACGACATGGTACCACTCGCATTTCTCGCATCAGTACGGAGATGGAGTTGTCGGAACATTCATTGTCAACGGTCCTGCCACCGCAAACTATGACGAGGACCTTGGAGTTATGCCGATCACAGACTGGTTTTACAAGACTGCCTTTCAAGCAGCCTCCATAGCATTCCAGAATGGGCAAGCTGGATTGGGTCCCCCTGTACCTGACAACATCCTGATCAACGGCACTTCTAAGAACGCAGCCGGAGGTGGTGCTTACAATCGAGTGACGATGCAAGCGGGTAAGCGCTATCGTCTGCGACTTGTGAACACTGCAGTCGACACTAGCATGACTGTTAACCTCGATGGCCATCCCTTCCAAGTCATTGCAAACGACTTCGTTCCCGTCGTCCCATACAACACCACTCACCTTCAACTTGGTATCGGCCAACGCTACGACGTCATCATCACTGCCAACCAGACAGCTGGAAACTACTGGTTCCGCGCCGACGCTAACGGCCTTTGCCAGTCGCGGGCTGCTCTCCAAGGACGCGCCATCTTCACATACCAAGGACAGACAGTGGCTGATCCCACCACAACTGCTCCAGCCAACCCCTTCACAATTTGCGCTGATCCAATCACCACCCCGAAAGTCGCAAAGAACGTGCCCAGCACCACATTCGCCGCCCAAGCTAAGAACCTCCCCGTCGCTTTCGGTCCGGTAGCAGCAAACGGCAACACAGTCCTCTGGACCATCAACGGCACATCCATCATCATTGACCCCGGAAAGCCGACCGTCCAATATGTCGCAGAGAACAACAACAGCATCCCGCAGTCTTACAATGTTGTGCAGGTACCATCGACCTCAGCATCTACTTGGACCTACTGGGTCATCCAGCAAGCCGTAGGAGCACCGCCCATCGCCCATCCTATCCATCTTCACGGCCACGACAGCTACGTCCTCGGCGGCGGTGACGGCCAATTCAGCATGGCAACGCATTTCAGCTCGCTGCGCTTCACCAACCCACCGCGTCGCGATGTTGTTCAGCTTAGGGGTAGCGGGTGGCTCGTTCTCGCATACCCGACTGATAACCCTGGTGCTGTAAGTAGACACTCTCATCCCTACCATCCCAACCATCCCTTAGTATCGCTACCGTAATAACAAACGCTAACTCCTTCTCCCCAGTGGCTCATGCACTGCCACATCGCCTTCCACGTCGGCATGGGCCTCGGCATCCAGTTCCTCGAGCGCAAATCCGAAATCAATCTCCCGGCTGCTGGCTCTGAGTGGAAGCAGAATTGCGCTAATTGGGCTGCTTACAAGGCTGGTACAGCGGATGTCTGGCCTCAGGATGATTCTGGGCTTAAGAAGCGTTGGCCTCCTCTTGTTGAGGGGACTTCGTCGTTTATGCTGGACTAGGCTGGATGTTGATGCGTTCTCTCCTCGCAGGAGACTTCAACGGCTAGCAGTGCCGCAGTCAGATGCACGCGAAGCTGCCTTTCCACTCGCGACGTTTGCTGGTAGTGTCCCAGCCCTCTCCGCTTTTCGCGTTCGATTCTTACACTCCTTTAACATTACTTTGGGTTTATGCCTTCTTTCGATTACATATCTTGCTGTCGCTGCTTCTCAGCTTTTTGGAGGAGATAGCATGTAAATATTTGGTGCGCTACTTCTTTCTTGCTTGTAGATATTGCAATAACATACCTTTCGCGAACATTCTCCAATTTGATCCTCTGGGGAAAAAAACAGGCCAGTAGCAGCGACGCCTTGACCGGGTCCTTCCATGTCACGTTCTTCGGGATCAGAACGACGAAATAAAGTATGTTGTATAGCTCCAGAAGGGCGGATCTGTCATGTGCGCGGTAACATTTCAATATGCGTTCGTATTATCCAGACATTCTGTAGTCTCTATAACTCGTGGTATCTTGCAAATTACAACCTCCACCTCCAACCTACTACCCGTTCCTCTGTGACACACCGCCACTCATTCCCTTCATCCCCATCTCACCCACCACCAGCAGAAGAAGCAACAGGCGTATTAAGCATCCCCGCACTAGCCTCATTCTCCAAACTAATCTTCATCTCCAACCAACTATAAAAACTCGCGCTCTTACAAAAGCTCTCATACAAACCATCCCGCGCGCGATGTCTCTGCAGCGGGTTCGACCCGCGAAACTTGACACTCGTCCCATATTTACTCACACTGCTCATCAGATCCGGGACGTGAAAACTGGCGTACCGGTTTGCACCACCGGGCGTAACGACGTTGGAGGTAGCGAGATAACGGTTAATGGGCGCGATGAACTGGGCGGTGAGCTCCGCAAAGTGGCGCCGGATAATAGGGCCTAGCTCGCGGGTTTGGTCGCCGAGTTTGAGGAGGGATTCGATTTGCGATACGACTGCAGGGTCGGATTTTAGGAAGCGTTTCGAGGGCGTGTGGACTTCGATGCCGCCGCCGGGGAGGTCGAGAAGGGCGTTGCGGCTGGATTTGTGATGCAGGGAATGGTGACGACGCGTAGGGACGGGGCCGTCGAAATTTTGCAGATACAAAATGTGTGGCCGCGCTTTGTGGCTGGCTTCTGCGGCGGCGACGATGCGTTTGAGTAAGAAGGGGTTTGTGACGCCGATGATGAAGGAGGTTGGGGTTCCGCCGTCGATGCCGATGCTTTTGAAGTTTGCTTGCATGGTCATGTAGGGCTTCACTACGCCGGCATAGGGTACGGGGCAGATGAGGTCGACGAGGGAGGAGACGGCTTCGCTTGCTAGTTGCGGAGACTTTGCGATGACGATGACGCTTTCGCAGAGGATGAGCTTCTCGTAGAGGACGTAGAGGTCTGTGATGCAGGGCATGTAGTGCATGATGTTGTCCCAGGAGCCGACGGGTTCGTAGGCGTAGATGGAGAGGGGGATGTCGGAGATTAGTGGCGTGGGTCCTGGGAGTCCTTGGAGAGGGAAGGCGCGATGTGGTGCGATGTCCAGGGTTAACATGCTGCCCATGAAAGGGAGATCGTGGCGTCCGAGTGCTGGGGGCGCCCATGTGTTCATCTGTGAGAATGCAGCTTCTAGAGTCGTTGGGTCGCTGAGGGGTCCGGACTCTGTCATCTTTTGTAAGATGCGATGATGGAAGGAAGTGAAGTTGTGGTGGGAAATCATGACCAGTGTTCTTTGATTGAAGCTTCTCTTCATGGTATCGTCGAACTCTTGGCGGAAGATACATGAGCCGTAGAGGGTGTCTGCGCTGCCATGAGGGGCATTTGGCGAAGTCAGTTTGATGTCAGGCGAGTTGTTGGTGATGGCGAAGTCGTAACAGAGGTCTTCGGCTGTCTCTGTGTTCTGTTGTTCAGGGAAACTAGATGCGACTTAGATGATACCACCCGGAACTGGCGGACGGATGTACCTGTTGAAGCATATGGCACTCAGGTCGGCCGTCGTAAAGGGCACATCTGGGGGGTATAGAATCTCGATTTCTGGGCTACAAACTCAATACATTGATCGAAATACGTGGTTTCCGGATAACCTACCCGATATCAACATTGAAGTTACAGACTATACTGTTGATGTAAGCACTCGTCACTCGGGAGCCAAACAACACTTACAAAGCCACGGCCCAGTGCTTGAACCCGCCTGTCGCGATGGGCGAGACCTTGGGCTCCCTCAATTTCTCCATGTCATCCTCTCGCCGCGAGCGACGATGGGGGTTCAGGAATTTATTCTTGAACTTTTCCATGTCGACGCTGGTCGCACCTGACAGGGGCAGGTGAACCCTTGGGTGATGTGAGGCGGCGACGACGGCGAAGGGTGTTGGTCAGAGCGAGCGAGTGACTTGGGGAAACTAAGCGCCTAGCGGCAGGGGGAGCTGCCAATCGCCATGACACTGAGGGTCGTGAGAATGGGCAGAGGGCAGTCGGCGAGACATGCCTTGGGCATCTGCTCGGGGTTGCTTTTGGAAATGTCTCGTTTATCGGCGGGTGCTAGCGACAAGGATAGGCGGTTGTGTAGGAAGGCACGATGACGTGTGTGCCTTCCGTTAAAAGCGCAGATCCCTGTCGTGACCCCGTCGGCTCGAGCATCGTGGGAAACACCGTGAAGAGCTGCACGTTCCTCCTCGCCCGGCTTCACGACGCCCCCAGTACCCCGCACGCCGTTAGTTGAAGATGCGATAGGCCGGCGGCTGCACCATGTAGACTTGTCCTGCCCGCGACCTCACCATGGACGTCAATATCACTAAAGCCCTCAACGACAAGCTCTACGACAAGCGCAAGAGCGGCGCGCTCGAGCTCGAAGGCCTCATTCGCGACGCCCTCGCCGCCCAGGACCACGACAGGATAGCCCGCATCGTGCGCCAGCTGTGCCAGGAGTACGCCTATGCCGTCCACCAGCCCCACGCCCGCAACGGCGGCCTGATAGGGCTGGCCGCGGCTTCGATAGCCCTGGGCCCGGTGCGTAGACACATTTGATACACAGCTTGATATCCCTACTGACATGTCCCCAGGAAGTCGCCCGCTATCTCGAAGAAATCGTCCCCCCGGTCCTCGCGTGCTTCAGCGACCAAGATGCCCGCGTTAGGTACTACGCGTGCGAGAGCATGTACAACATCGCAAAGGTCGCCAAGGGCGAGATACTCGTCTACTTTAACCAGGTCTTCGATGCCCTGTGCAAGGTGAGAAGACCCATATCATCTACCTCGGACTGTGAGACAAGGCTAACACGGCCCGGACCGTCCAGATGGCTGCAGATTCGGAGCTCTCAGTCAAGAACGGCGCAGAGCTGCTCGACCGCCTGATCAAGGACATCGTCTCCGAGTCGGCTGCCAGCTACGTATCCGTCCTACACGACACGCCCGACCAGGAAGACCCCGAAGACGAACCTCACCCATTCGCTTTCAATCTCGAACGATTCCTGCCACTCCTCGAAGAACGCATCTATGTCCTTAATCCGTTCACACGTTCCTTCCTGGTGGCATGGATCACGCTGCTCGACTCTATACCTGATCTCGAACTCATCGCCCACCTGCCGCGGTTCCTCGGCGGTCTCTTCAGATTCCTGAGCGACACCAACCAGGATGTATACACCATGACGCAGGCGGCATTGGACAGATTCCTAAGTGAGATCAAGAAGATCGCGCGCATCAAGAAGGGCATAGCGGAAAGCAAGAGGAGCAACAGCAAGGACGATCGCAGGAACTCTACGGGTAGCATCCATAGTGGTAGCGAAGCGACAGACAGCACCCCTCTCGAGCTGGACGATTCCATCAACGACAAGGGCGAGGCAAGCGGAGAGAGCGGCTCCATCTCTGGCGACAGCGGAAAGTCTGTCAACGGCGACGGAAACTGGATACCTGGCCAGGATGTGCACGTTGACCATCCCAAGATCCTTGAGATTCTAGTCGACTTCCTGGTGCCCCCATCAGGTGAGTTTTAACAAATACTCTATACAATGGTCGAAACTGACTGGTGTAGGCACAGAAGAAGAGCAAACCGAGATACTGCTCACGGCACTCCGCTGGATAGACAACTTCTTCGACATTTGCCCAGAGGACATCATGCCGTTTGTTCCCAGTCTCTTGTCGCACGTGCTGCCACGCATGTCGCACGACGTCGACACCGTTCGCAAAGCTGCAGTCAAGGTCAACGCCTCGTTGATGGACTATATACTGTCATTATCTGACGATAACCGCCCCCGCGATGGTGCTGCAGGTGGACAGATTCAGCTACCGCCTTCCCTATCTGAGCTAGGTAAAGAGCTCACCGGCACGCAGCGGCGCGATTCTAATCTATCTGGCCGATTGCTCAAGGCAGTCATCCGCGATCAAGCAAACAAGGCTGAATCGCCAGATGGCAAGGGTACACGATCGCCCACACCAGCAGAGGAGCGAGGCCCATCCCCGCGTCCAATACCAGAGCTGGACTACCAAGCGGCTGTCAGCGCTTTGACACTGCAGTTCTTGAATGAACACGAAGCCACTCGCGTTGCGGCCATAGCATGGCTGATAATGCTCCATAGAATGGCACCTGGCAGGGTGAGTATGAAGATGACGTTGAAAAAGCGACTGCTAACAGCTTCCAGATACTGACAGTGGACGACGGCACATTCCCTGCATTGCTAAAGACGCTTTCAGACCCTTCAGATGCGGTCGTTACGCGCGACCTGCTGCTTCTATCCCAGATCTCACTGCACAGCGATGATACCTACTTCACTTCATTCATGGTTAATCTCCTGAAGCTGTTCTGTACAGACCGCCGACTTCTCGAAACTCGAGGTAACCTCATTATCAGACAGCTCTGCATAACACTAAGCGCTGAGCGCATATACCGCACCATGGCTGATTGCCTTGCGAAGGACGAGGATGTCGAGTTTGCCAGTATCATGGTCCAAAACCTCAACAACAATCTCATCACAGCACCAGAGCTTGCAGATCTACGAAGACGGCTCAGGAACCTCGACAACAAGGATGGCCAATCGTTCTTCGTCATTCTGTTTAAGGCGTGGTGTAACAACGCTGTCGCTACCTTCTCACTGTGTCTTCTTGCTCAAGCGTATGAGCAAGCATACCATCTGCTTCAAGTTTTGTATGTTCCTCAACGTGGCATTGAACGGGCATTACTGACTATGATAGTGCGGACCTTGAGATGACCGTGAACATGCTCATCCAGATCGACAAGCTAGTTCAGCTACTCGAATCTCCCGTTTTCACCTGTAAGGCTCCTTCCTGCTCATTCTCACTACCTTGCTAACTGTGATGGTCAGACCTGCGCATGCAGCTCCTTGAGCCAGAGCGATACCCGCACCTTTACAAGTGCATGTACGGCCTGCTCATGCTGCTGCCTCAATCGTCAGCGTTTGCGGCGCTCAAAAACCGTCTGAACAGCGTCTCGGCCATTGGCTACCTGCACATTGCGCCGCAACGCAGCAGCTCGACGTATGTGCACCCTTCCTCTTCCTCCCCTACCCTAAACCACTTGCGGCAAAAAAGCTCAGAAGTTGGCTCGAACAGCAGTGCTAGCAGCGGCATTCCATCCTCTGCAGGATCCAATGTGTCGACGTTCGAACGTCCTGGCCGCTTGAAACCAAGGGACGGTTTGGGTGGCCCCGAGGCTGGTGGGACCGTCAAGTGGTCAGAGCTGCTCGACAGGTTCAAGCAAACGCAGGAGAAGGCGAGACGCACGCAGCGAATGGCGAGTATGGGTGAAGAGGAAGAGATGCAGGAGAAGATGGGACCCAGGGCACCTACGCCAAGTGCACCTCCCAAGAGCGTTGCTGGGTTGAGGCCTGGCAGTCCGGCGAACGCGATGCGACCCCCTCCCCAACCTGCGCCACCGGGTCCAGTGCAGGGCCATAAGCCAAGGTCCAGTCTGAGCAACCTGGGACGATTTGCTGGGGGTGTAGCCGGACGAAGGAAGGACAAGAAGTAAAACTTGAGACTTATTTCTAGCTTGTGATTTGTGCGTTGGCGCGGGCGGACTTCAACTGCATTGCAGGCGTTGTTTGGGGAGCAGTAATGATGGGTATTCTTCCAAGCATGAACTGGCGTAATCTGAACCATATCTTCAACGATGCTTGCCCTTTCTGAACCTGACTCCATCCACGTCTTTCTCTTTCCACCCTGTCGTATCACCCTCTTTCCCGTCGTCCTCGCCCAACACCCATGTCTTGACAATCTCCTTGATCTCCGGTTTCTTCTTTTCTAAGCGTTTCGCTTCCCGTACCTTTCTCACGTACCCACGGTATACAGCTACTTCGGCAACTGCGATACCCAATGATCCTCCCATGCTCAGTCCTAATCTACTGCCCACACTCCAGTGCCGCGCGGCGACCCATATGAATACTGCCACACACACAACCGAGACCAAGATGTTTATGATGAGGATGATCTGGCGATGCACTTCCTCATATGATAGTTCGTCTTCCTCGCTAGTAGTCTGTGTTGCTCCTATCGAGAATGGTTCTGGGGCGCGGGGAAAGCGCTGGGAGAAGGATTCGCGTGTTGGCGGCGGGTGCAGCATGCGTTCATAAGAGAGAGCTTCTTGCTCGGCGCGGAGACGTCTCATTAGGGCGTGGTATTCGGGGGTTTGCGTGGGTTTGGGGGGAGGCGGTGGGATGTATATTGTTGTGTTGTGCAGGAGGGCGGCGAGGGTCGTTGGCGTGGGGGATGAGGTGTCTTCTGTGGTTTCTGAAGTGTCTTTGGTGTCTTTGATGTCCTTGTCGACATGCTTCTTCAGCAGCTTTGACAGGTCGATCAACTGGCTGTGGGAGATGGGCTTCCCGACTTCTGGTTCCGCAAGCGAGGGCTCGTCGGCGTGCTGGAGTTTCTCGTAATCGTCGGCGGATAGGTCTTTGGCTTTTGCGACTGCCCGGACGATACCGGGAGTCATAGTAAGCAGGACCATGGCTGAGTGGAGTGTGTTGTGTAGACGGTAAGAATCAGCGTCTCAGGCACGCGGCATAGACGACGCGACAGGGATGTGCGGCGACCGAGGGGAGCTAGCGTTCGGAACGTCATGGATATTTTGACTTCGACAAATCTAGCCGATAGCTGCGGGCGAACATATCACTAGCCCACTTCACCACCACCACCCACTCTGTGTGCTCCGAGACGCTGCTCCAACCCCTCAATTGCACCGTCTCTGCCCGTTTCAGACAAAGTTTCACGGCCCAACCCCCCATGACGAGCCGCACACCCCGGCTCGCGACGTCCATCGCGCGACAGCAAACTTCGTCACTATCGCACATCTCAACATGTCCCTACCGTAACGCCGCCCTCGCCCGCTCAATACACACGCAGAAGAATGCGACACCAAGCCTCCACCACCCCTCGCGGCGGCGAAACCAGTCCTCCTGGGCCGCCGCCGCCCACGTAGCGCAAAACGTCATGTCGTCGCCGCCACCCGATGCGCCCATCAAGATGGACCCCTTCCAAACCGTCGCCCGCGAAATGAAGTTCCTCACCGGAAACATACGATCCCTCCTCGGATCCGGGCACCCCACCCTCGACACCGTCGCAAAGTACTACACGCAGAGCGAAGGAAAATACGTGCGCCCCATGCTCGTCCTGCTCATGAGCCGAGCCACAGCCCTCACACCACGGAGTTCAAGACGGGACTTGGGAATTGGGAGTCAAAGCGCGGATATCTCGATAACAAACCCACGGATCCTGGCAGACGAGAACCCGGATCAAAGTCCTATTAGCAGTATACGACATGACTCTGCGTACACGCCTGAAGACAGCGATATCCTCCCTTCCCAGCGCCGGCTCGCGGAAATCACAGAATTGATTCACACAGCTAGTCTACTCCACGACGATGTAATCGACCACTCCGTCTCCCGCCGCGCCGCACCCAGCGCGAACATTGAATTTGGCAATAAAATGGCCGTCCTGGCGGGCGATTTCCTGCTTGGCCGTGCCTCCGTCGCACTCGCCCGTCTCCGCGACCCAGAAGTCACAGAACTCCTCGCTACCGTCATCGCAAACCTCGTCGAGGGCGAGTTCATGCAGCTCAAAAACACCGCCAGGGACGAGAAGAACCCCAGTTGGACCGAAGACACAGTAGCATACTACCTCCAAAAAACATACCTCAAATCCGCCTCCCTCATCTCGAAGAGCTGTCGCGCCGCCGCTATTCTGGGTGGCTCGAGTCCCGAGGTCGTGGAGGCGGCGTATCTGTATGGAAAGAACTTGGGCTTGGCGTTCCAGCTCGTAGACGATATGCTGGATTACACGGTTAGCGAAGCGGAGCTGGGGAAGCCGGCGGGTGCGGATTTGGAATTGGGACTTGCGACTGCGCCGTTGTTGTTTGCGTGGAAGGAGGAGAGTAGTTTGGGGAAATTGGTGGGGAGGAAGTTTTCGAAGGAGGGGGATGTCCAGAGGGTGAGTTTTCCAACATGCTTGACTCTGATTCGAGAGAGGAAGTAGGATGTGTTTGCTGACACGTGATTACTAGGCTCGCGAGATCGTCTCGCAAAGTTCTGGTCTAGAGCAGACCCGCGCTCTGGCACAAGACTACGTCGACAAGGCCATTGAGGCTATCTCCTTCTTCCCCGAAAGCGAAGCCAAGACCGGACTGGTGGATATGTGCACCAAGGTCATGAAGAGGAGAAAGTGAACAGTGACTCCCAGGTTCAGGAAAAAGACAATCACTCAAAAGCAATTTCCGCGTTGAGATTTTCGCGAAGCATCTGTACGAATACCATGTGCGGACGGATCTACAGCATGGCACGGCAGCCCGCAATACGAGGTGAACGCATCGAGCATCTAGAGGACGCGTGATGACTTGGTTTCATGCATGATGGTCTCGAGTCGATACGATACCATACAGCGACTTTACTACGTGGTGGGTCTATTGGTCACGGTCTATATCTGGCGGAGATACACTCTACTTCTGTATATATACATGTTTACGAAATACTAGAGCGACCCGGGCTTCCTAGTCGGCAGACAGTCTGGATGCTAGGGCTTATATATCATCTTCGAATGGCCGTACGATCTGTCCCTTTTCTTGCAGGTGATCCTTGACTTGTTTGACTGTGTATTCGCCTCTGTGGAACTGCAAAACGTTAGTCACTATATTCATAGTCGGACTGTAAATAGAACAGAAACTCACCATTCCAGCACCCAACGCAGCATCCGTCCTCGTCTTCGCAAACACCTCTTCGAAATGCCCCGGGTGTCCTGCGCCACTACTCGCGATAACAGGGATCTTGATCGCGTCTTTGACGTCGTTGATGAGCTCTGTGTCGAATCCGCTGTTACTTCCGTCTTTGTCGATGCAGTTTAACAGAATCTCTCCTGCGCCCATGGCTTCGACTGCGGTGACGAGTTGGCGGACGTCGAAGTCGCGGCCCTCGCGTCCGCCTTTGATGGTGCATTGGTACCAGCAGTATTCCTCGCCGTTGGGACCTGGAGTTGTGGTTTTGATGGTGTGGTGGGGTGTTGCGTCGGGCGAGGGGACGTATACGCGCTTGGGGTCTACGCTGATGACGACGGCTTGTCTGCCGTAGGCGGATGAGATGGTTTCTATGGCGGTGACGCCTGATAGCTTGCTGCCTCGCGCGTAGTATTCTTCCGCTGCGGTCACGGCGTCAGAGCCTATGCTTACTTTGTCTGCACCGGACTTGAAGTACATGGTCGCGATGTCGAGGGCGGAGATCTTGCTTCCGTCCGTATCTACTGTGTCGCGTATGCCTCCGCCGATCGTCAGAGGCACGAAAACGGTTTCGCTGGTCCGGCGCAGGATCTCGAGCATGGGTGTGTCGGCTACGGGGCAGTTGCGGAAGGATGTGATGTTCAGGAAGGTGACTTCGTCGGCGCCTTGTTCGTAGTATTTCTTTGCCATTTCGACGGGCTTGCCCAGGTTGCGCACTCCGCCACCGGCTCCTTCCTTTTCGCGGACATCGTATTGGTCGCCTTTTGTTACTACGAGGTCGCCTTGGTCGTTGGTTCGTACGTCGAGACAGGCGATGACGCGTCTTGTTAGGCCTTCTTTTGTTTCGGCTGTTGATGGCTTTTCTGGTAGCTTCTGTGACATGTTGCCATCCAACCAAGCCTTCAGGACGCGTAGACCTGCTGCGCCGCTCTTCTCAGGGTGGAACTGTGTGGCGAAGATGTTTCCCTTTGCGACTGCGCCGATGAACTCTTCGTCGCCGTACCGTGCTGTAGCGACTGCCCAGCCATCTTTCTCCAGCAGACCCTCCTCGTATATCGCGGCGTAGGAATGGACGTAGTAGTACTTTGACGTTGGTCGCAACCCGTACAGTGAGTCATCCGTGACTTCTCCGGTTCGCGATGTGTTTGCGCTGTTCCATCCGATGTGCGGTACGCTCTTGTCTGTGTCCTGGAACTTCCGTAGTCGCATAGGAATGACCCCCAGACCCTTCACTTCAGGACTCTCCTCCGAGCCTTCGAACAATGCCTGAACACCGACGCATATTCCCATGAAAGGTTTCCCCGCCTTGATGTGCTCGCGAATGGGTTCGACGTAGCCGGCTTTCTCTAGCTGGGACATACAGTGGCCGAAGTGGCCGACGCCAGGAATGATGAGTTTCTAGGGGCGATGCTGCATCAGCACTTGTCAATTGTTGCGCGCGTCTTGGTGAGAGGGCGGTGGTACCTCGGCAGAGGGCACGTCCGCGGGCGTCTTGACCCATTCGACGGTGTACCCAACCTTCTCGATGGCATTGACGAGGGAGCGGACATTGCCGGCGACGTAGTCGAGCAAGTGAACTGTCGGCATATTCGTGGATGCGTTCAGAGGAATGATAGTAAGAGGTTTGACTCGAACAGTGAAAAGTAATTTGGATGCACCCCACGCGTCATTGGAGGGGCAGTCACGCTACCGCTAGCGCCCGCTGTACCCCTGTCAAATAATTCTTTGGATCTTCATCGTTGTCGCGAAGCCATCGCAAGCACTCACGACCCACCACCCACGACAATCCCGTTACCGCCTCGTCAACATGGTGCGCAAACTCAAGCATCATGAGCAGAAGCTCCTGAAGAAGGTATGCATCACCTGATCCTCTCCGCCCCTGTTGTACATCGCCGTCTGGACCGCCGCGCGAACAACTGCCATTTTCGCCATGTCCAACGGTGCTACCTCGCGCCTACGAGGCATTCTAGAGTAGTTGGCAGGTACTAACATTCTTTCATAGGTGGACTTCAACACCTACAAAAGCGACAATGACCATCGAGAAGCCGCGGTCATGCGCCGCTACGCAATCCAGGGACGCGACGACTACCGCAAATACAACCAGCTCGCCGGCTCATTGCGACAACTCGCCCACAGAATCGCCAACCTTGATCCATCCGATCCCTTCCGCGCTAAACAAGAGGACCTGATACTGGAGAAGCTGTTCTCGATGGGCTTGCTGGGAACTGGTGGCGGCGGCCGCGGAAAACTATCCGATGTCGAGCACAAGCTCACAGTGAGCGCGTTCGCACGGAGGAGATTGCCAGTTGTCATGACCCGGCTACGCATGGCAGATCACGTACAATCTGCTGTCACACTTGTCGAACAAGGTGTAAGTACACTGGACTCCAGACATGATTTCTTTAGAGGTCGACTCCCTAGACTATGAGCTGACAAACACATAGCACGTAAGAGTTGGAACCGACGTCATCACAGACCCAGCCTACCTGGTTTCGAGGAATATGGAAGACTTCGTCACATGGGTCGACTCCTCCAAGATTAAGCGCAACATCATGAAGTACCGCGACAAGCTGGACGATTTCGAACTCGAGGCCCTATGAGATTCATGTTCCTTTTTCTTTTTGGTGGCGTTTGTGGATACAGCATTTGAAGGCGTTACGACATACTCGCGATATCCGGCTATGGCAAAAATTTGATCTTTATTCTTCCACTTATACCTACCATCGCAGTTCAAGTACGCAGCGTATCAGACGATACCACGTCTCATCCTATGAGAACGAGCGGATGCGATCATTTGTCCTTTCCCAAGGGCGTTCGAGTACGAGAACAGACATTGGAAGAGATGCATTGGGTGGATGGCACATCATGCGCTATGGGGGACACTAAAATTCCCACAGCAATGCGATCTCCAGTGCGTAATCCTCCGCTGACTGTTGCGCACACAGGACAACGATAGCCAACACCGGGTATGCTAAGTCGGCATTGGCTATGTTTTTCCGACTGAAGGAGCCGTGACCAATCATGTTCCCTCACTGACGCCATACGGCATGCAGTTCTTTACCCAAACCGGCAATGACAGTGCTTATGCTCATACCAGTACAACACCCCAAGCGTACTAGAATTTTGAGTCGCTTGCATGTGCATAAGTGCTATGTCGCTATCTCCAAGCATGGGTGGGGATGTTCGGGGTGAATTCTGGGGTAGCTGACGGATCACACTAGGGAACAGCGGGACGGTATTTATGACAGTGCTGATCCTCCAGCTCTGGATTCGGATATTTTCAGTACTTCGTAGTACACTTATCCATTGTCGCTTGCTACGCAATGGCTGCGAAAGGAGACCGCGAGCCCTCGGTGGCACAGATCGAAGCGCTCGAGCACAGCACGAATACATCGGATCACGACAACTACGTCCACAGCAATGATGCCAACGAAGAGATCGTCCGCCATCTCCAAACCACTGGTGAAGATGTGGGCATGACCTGTGCGTAATGCCCGACATCCATGCTGGCTTCTGTCATATCTAACTCATCTCAGTCCGCACATTGATGGCCGCCGTGTCCATGGCCATGTGCTACAACGCCTACCTCTTTACCCTCCTCATCCCACCAGCGATTCTCACGTACGTTAATGCCGATCTTGGTCCGGATCCCAGATACACATGGATTACGATCTCGTGGAACCTTGGTGGCGCGATGTTTGTCACCGTTGGTGGACGACTCTCAGACATATTCGGCAGGCGATGGTTCTTCATCGCCGGAGCTATCATTCTCATCATCGGCAGCATTGTCTCAGCGACTGGACAAAGCATCAACCAGATGATCGCCGGCGGTGCCCTGTTTGGCTGCGGTTCCGGGTTTCTGGAGATGGCATTTGGTGCTGTTCAAGAAATTGTGCCGAGCAAATATCGTCATGTTACTATTGGGCTGTTCGACGCTGCTTCAATCATAGCACAAATCATGCCGCTGGTCAGTTGGGTCATCATCAAGCAGACGGGCAACTGGCGCATTTGCTACTATGTCATGATAGGCTTCCAAGCTATCAATCTCGCCCTTCTTTTATTCTTCTACCACCCGCCATCATGGAAAGACAAGAAGGCTGAGCATGGCAAGACTGCTGGACAGCTTCTACGAGAATTTGACTGGTTGGGACTATTCCTGTTCTTGGCTGGCTGTACACTATTCATCGTCGGTGTCAGCTGGGGTGGATCTCAGGCTCCTTGGGTATCCGCGACCGTTCTCGCACCTATCATTATCGGACTGGTGACCTTGATTGGACTTGGATTCTACGAGGCCTACTGTAATTTGACGGCGCCACTTTTTCCGCCGCGTCTTTTCAGAGCACTTCGCCACTTTACCGTGCCGATGTTAGTCATGGCCATAGGCGGGTATGTTGTTCCACTTGACAATAAGGCCTATGCTAACGAATAACAGGATGCAGTACTACTCGAACGCAACTCTGTGGCCACGCCTATCCCAACTCATCTACGCCACCGACGAGATATCCAAAGGCTTGTACGCCGAAGTCCTACCTCTCGGAACCATCATCGGTGGCATCATTGTGGCTTTCAGCAAGGTTATCGGACACCAACGTTGGGTCATCATGTTCGCCGTCGCCCTACAGACAGCTTGTGTCGGTGCCATGTCTACCTCCACAATGGACAATCCCGTCAAATCAATCATTTTAACAGTCATCATCTCGACATGTACCTCTGTCAACCTTTTGAACGGCATGGTCTTGGTAGGCTTCGGAATCGTATATCAGGAAGATATAGGCACGGCAGCCGGTCTTGCGGGAACCTCTCGTCTACTTGCTGGCGCTGTCGCTACCGCCATCTTTGGAAACGTTACGAACAACAAGTACGCAGACGCGTTACCTGCGCGCGTTCGTGCCAATCTTGGCCCCTTCAATCTCTCCTCGGATCTCGTCACTAGGTTGATCACCGCGGCGAGAGCGAACACAGCTGCCGGGTACCAAGCTATCCCAGGTATAACTCCTGCTATTCGAGCTGCAGCCAGCTTGGGGAATAAGCAAGCATACTTGGAGGGTGCGCATTTGTCGTATTTAGTGGCCTTAGCGTTCGGTCTGCTGGGAGTGGTCGCCGCGTTCTTCATTCCGTCGGTAGACAAGAGAAAGTACACCAGTAAGACCGTTGCTGTACAGAGACGCGACAGGAAAGAGTTGCAGGAAAAGAAGGTCGCGGGGAGTGTAGGGCCATGAGTTCGTTTGCTCGTCGAGCTGCGTCCTTGTGAAAAGTTTTACATCAGCAATTACATGCAAAGTATTACCGCACCATCTACATAACATCAGTGTCGCTTTCAAAAGACACGATCCCATGCTCAATCTTTCTTCCCGCTCGCATTTGCACCAATCTCGACATCCGTCTTCGCCCAGTATTTGCTCAGATCTCCAACAGGCGGACATACAGACCAACGCATCTCTACAGCCATAATGACAAAGAGCATGTACCAGCCCAGAAGGCCTACTATGAACAGGAGCGCTCCACCAGCCTGTACTCATCAGCAATAACCCCTCAAAATTGCCAGTGTAACTCAGCTTCTGCAACCTCCCCGCCCTCTCAAAATCCCCCCTACTCAACGCCCAATACGCTCCACTCAACACCCACGCCCCCACCGTCACAAACCCAAAGATCCCCGCAAAAACCACATTAATCCGTATCGTAAACAGCCAAAACGTTGCTAGCGCAAACCCCCAAACAAGCAAATACAACGCGATTACCGCATTCATCTCTTTACTCACTGCTCCTGCTGCGGCATCGCCGGTGGGGGAGTAGGCGGCGGCGAGACCGAGGGTGGGCAGTTGCAACATGCCGAAGGAGAGCCAGAAGACGGCGAAGAGGCCGCAGACCATCATGGGGAAGAATTGGGCTTGGATCCAGAGGAAGATTGTGGAGAGGGTTAGGAGGAGGGGGCCTGTGAAGAAGAATATGCCGCTGTGGGAGAGGTCAGTAGGGGAAGTAGGGGGGCATGGGAAGGGTGAGGGGAGTGGGATGGGGGAGGGAGGAAGGACGTACACGACTGCTTGCATTCCGGCGGCACCGCCCCAGCCCATTAGTACCATGGAGAATGTGAAGGTTGAGATTACGAATCTGTTGTGCTTAGTATCGACACCGACCATTCCGTGAAGAGTTCCCTACCCCAAGAAGCCCAAAGGTGTCGCATTAGCATATTTCCCGACGTTCTCATTTGCATGCGGTGTTTTGGGGGCGAGATATAGTTTCTCGAATAGCTCCGGGCTGATCGATATGTTTGTTGATGTATGTGCGAGATGTGGCTCCTTGTCTATGCGATCGGAGTCTGTGCTGTGCGAGGTCACTGTTGTTGTCGCCATGATTTGGGTGGAGTGGCTATGTTCGCAGTAGTAGGGTAGGTGATGCAGAGGGAAGTAGTGTACTGGTGTAGTAGTAGCACAGGAACCTTGCAGCACAAGCATCGACTCAGGGTACTCCACGCTTATCAACTCGAGAACTTCCCTGTCCGCCATCGCTCACCACTCCTCCTCCACATGCACATGCACGGTGGGGTACACGACATCTCGAACGCCCTCTTTTTGGTCGACCGCTCATCCATCTCACACCCCGTCTCCCAAGCCGTCCGTCTCGGTATCCGTATACACAATCCTCCTCTCCCATTCGTCAACTCCCCAAATCCTGCCGCCACGGCTCGGCCAATACCTCCCAACTGGCTGGATATATATCACGATTACGCCGAAAAGCCTCCTTCGCTACAGCTTGCCTTTGAGAACATAAAAACGATGGTCAGCATGTTGAATGCGGTGGTGGAGGTCGAGTGTTCCCCGCTCGCTACCCTTGTGCTGGGCTTACCCGGCAATTTCTGAGACGACGGTGATTGGCTGGGATGGGACGGGAAGGTCTTGGGTGTGGTCAGCGGAGACTGGGGTGGAGTGCGATGGCCGGATGGAGATTGGTGGGGTGGACTGGGGGTGGGGATCGATGTTGGGATGCGATGCCATGTAATGCGGTGCGATGCGAGGTGGGTTTGGGGTTGAGATGGGTGGAGTGAGGATTTATCAACACATGTCTCATTTGATATCGCAACTTGACAAAATGCCGATACTAGATGCACAACAAGAACATTAAAATGAGTACATTGTTCCACGTTAGGGGCATCAGGGACTCTCATTGAACCGTGACAGCGAAACGTGATGTTAGAAGCTCCAGGCTGGCCACCAGGATGGCCCGCGAGTCAACGCCCTCACGTTCCTATCCATTTGTACCATTGCATCCTCGCGTCCCATAGCAAACATGTGTTGCCAAATTGCCTTAGTCCGTTCGAGCTCCTCGCTTTCTTTCGCTTGCTCGCGTCGCATCGCACGTTCGTGTTCTTGCACCTCTTTGCGTTTCTTTGCCTCTTCGCGCTCCTTCGCCTCCTCACACTCCTTTGCCTCCGACCGTGTCTTAGCCTCGATATTCGCTTTAGTCTCTGCCTTCTTTTGAGCCTGGGTCTCTGCCTTCTTTCGAGCCTGGGTCTCTGCCTTCTTTCGAGCCTTGGCCTCTGCCTTCTCCTTCTGTTGCTGTTCCTTATCTACCTTAGCCTGATAGTATCTACGGTAGTGCTCCCCGAGTCTAGGGAGGACACCGAATTCGAATCCCCAGCTCCATATCCATCTACAGAACCCAAGCATATTTTCCAAGTGCCCAGCTTGAGAGGTCGCTAGCAGTGCTGAAAGCCTCATCTGTTGGAGAGGAAGAATGTCAGCATCCACTATTGTCCCTTCCTTTCGGAATCTTGAGTCGTATGGTATCATAACGGTGTTGAGCATATCGACATAGGCCCCTGTGGGTGGAGTGTAGTTGCTGTACATCTGTACGTTGAGTACTTGTTTGGGGTATAGCTCCTGTCCCCATGGAGATAGTGGAGGATCGCTTAGTGGATACTTAACGATGGGAACGCTTCGATTCATGACAGAAGGACCCTTCTTGCTCAAGCCCTTTCCGCCTGAAGTGTTGATTGGTAAGCCTAACATGCAATCGCGAAGCTTCTCCACTATGATCAGCGGATAGTTCTTTGCGCAGATGTACCCGAATTCAGTGTGAATGTCGGACGGAGACTCGACCATAGAGGGTCGCAAGACTGGGAACCAGCCAATATCGCCGACTTCGAATTTACGTCGCTTAATGCGTTCGACGTCTTGGAAACTCTTCTGTGGTGAGCATACCTGGATTCTCGAAAGCTTCTGGTCCAGCTTGACGACGGCTGTCAGGCTTTTGGGTATAGCAATGTACAATCCTGAAGTAGTGTCCACTTCGATATCGGTTCCGTTCGCTTCCAAGATGGAGTCTATGTCTTTGACGTTGACTTGAGCGGCAGTTATCGTGACGGGTGCAGGGATGGGAAAATACTTTCCGACACCAGGTATATCGAGATCACTTTTAACGGCACGATTCATGGCGACTGTTGCTAGGTATGCAATTTCGAAATTTTCTGAAAGCTGAGATTCAGACTCCCGGATCTTTTGCGCGTGATCTTCGATGGCTGTTGTGAGACTCTTCACTCCAATGTCCCCTGCCGTGTCTTCTGTCGATTTATCAAAGCCGGTTTGTAATTGTTCTTTCCCATGCTCCATCTCTTGAAGTTCTTGCTTTAGACTTTTGTGGGTGTCTTGCATTTCGCAGACGTTGAGCTGGCGGTCGACGGTGGCTTCCCAGGCCTTTGTTTCTGTGGCAGCAATTTGTGCCAAATCGGCAATGCAGATGACTAGTACTTCACGTTGAGCGGAAAGACGCTCAGCGTAGACTTCCGTCATTATTTTCGTAATATCTTCCTCGGCAAGCTTTGAAATGTGTATCTCGAGATTATCCTTGTGCCGCTGGAGTCGGACCTTCATTACTGATACCCACGCTTGTGTCTCTGTGTCGCTGAGTCGCGCGACCGCGGCTTCGTACTCCGCAACAGTTACCAGCGTGCGCCTAACCTTCTGCCTTAAATCACTTCTCTTGGCAGGGCCTGCCATACTGTAGTCGTGCGCGAGAATGACCCGGGCACTCAGTTGATCGGAGACGCGTTCGTGAATGATAGGTAAAATGATTTGCTGAAGCGATCGAGAGGGAAGTGATGCGACGGTAACCGTATATGCTTTGAAGGTATTGTGTTGGTGTAGAAGAAGAGTAGGTGGATGCAATTGATGCGATGTGGGAATATTCGTGCAAATGGGGTCTCGCTTCTGGAAGCCGCCTTCACCTCCGCAATAGGCAACCGCGATTGCATCGCTGTTCAGCGGCCATACATCGAATGTCTAGTGAGCATGAATGAGTTAAGAGAGCTCAAGAAGCCTCAATACTTGCTCTGCCTGGGCTTCTGGCACTCAGACCAACACCATCAGCCCGCTCCTGATTCTCACATGCTCCCCTCCCTTCCTCACCTCCTCACCCACCCTCCTACAAACACCCCTCAATAGCCCTCCTAACCTCCTTCGGCCTCGCCCCCGTAACCCCCTCCATAATATCCCCATCCTTAAACACACTAAACGACGGCATACTCCTAACCCCCAGCTCCTGCGCAATATCCTCACACTCCTCCACATCATACGTGTAAAACTTTACGTTTGGGTACTCCGCCACCATCTTTGCGACTTCAGGGGCGACGATGTGGCAGTTCTTGCACCAGGTGGCTGTGCCTTCGAGGATGGTGACGCCTTCGTACATGACGGCTCTGAGGTACTCGGCTTTGGTGTGGAGGGTTGGTATGGAGGGGGTGGGGGTGGGGGTGGGGGTTTCTGATGTGGATGTCATGGCTGTGGCTTAGAGATGGGATATCTCAGTTAGAATATGGAGGAGTGATGTTGAGATGAACTGTTGTTGTTGTGGTTTGTTTGGTGAGGCTGCATGATAGAGGGGGAGATGTGTGGGGAAGGAGACGATGATGTTGATGACGTCATCGCTTTGCACACGGCAAGAACGCCGACGCGACAGTCCATTGTGTCTGTCATCCTTGTGATGCCTTTTTATATGCCGAATCTGACTGCGAGGTACAAGAAGCCACAAGTCGCGTTCGACATTATATACACGCGTCCCAAGAATGTACATAAGTAGGCGATGAATCACTCATGCATCATTCGGACCCACGCATCATTGCTGTTGAAAGACATTATATTCTCGTCTCAAAGTGGTATCATAACTTCATTCCCCCTTCATCAGGCAAAGGTAAAATCCCCTACTCGCCCTTACCCTGCTTTCCATAGAAAGCGTCCTCACCACCAAGTGCCTTGAGCGCCTCAGCAGACTTCTTCTTGGACTCCTCGCTAGTGTCTGCATCACGCGTTAGTCTCTCATCTCATCAAACACGCAGCTAGGCATCTCAGGGAATGCGTACTGGGGTTACTCAAGTTTGCCTTGTGACCCGAAGCCTTGTTGCTGATGTCCTCGGTGGTGTTGTTGATATTCTGGTCCGCCTCGCTGAGACCGGGGGCGGTGATGCCCTGGTGGGAAACACCTTGGCCGGACATAATTGACGAGGGGTGTGATGTAAAGTTTGATTTGGTCGTGGGTGGTTGAGGTAGATAGATTTGGTATGTGATGAGTGGTTGATGATGTATATCCTTTCATAGACACCAGCACCCAGCCTTATATACCCATGACAAACACACAGCCAGCCTGTTACAGTACCTCCACATTACGTCTTCAGCGTCATCTGGACGCTGGACCACCTATGTCATACCTGTCTTGGCATGAACCTATCTTCTCCACCCAACCCAGGTACAGCCGTGCCGGCGTAGCCACCGGTATACGCTAGGGGAGCCGAGACCCGATCGTGTGTGGTACCTGTCTCATCTCACCAACGTACCCATAGTTTTCGATATTGAATAGGACGAAAACCTGTTATCGGTATCTGTGCTCGTTATGCAGATGTTGGAGTGTTATGACCGCATCGCGTGGTGGTTGTCGATCATCGTAAAGGTGGTTGGGAGACACGGCTCTATCGGCCCTTCTCGATGGCAAGACGCAGGCGCGTCACGATGCCACTCTGAACGTCAAACACTCCTATTGCTGGATTCGAGCATGAGTTTTGGGTAGAGTATTCATGTCGTATTACATGCAGTAAATAAGTCGGTGGTGTTATGATTTCACTGTGTTGACGGCAGCTACAGTAATGCGCATCAAGCTTATGAGGTATCGACTCTATGCCAGAGTATTGGGTATCCGCATCGCGTGGTCAAACTACTCGGCCCACCACGAAACAAGATCCTCCATCGCCAAAGTCACTCCTCAACCCTCCCCTTACCATCTCAGATCAACTAATCAGCCTGCGCAAACTCCTCTTCAAAGACCACCCCACGCATCTCTACCTCGACCCTCTTATTCCAATTCTTCGGCACATACTCCACCGACAATCCTGAATGACGAGTATAACGAGTCTTACTCGAGCTCGTCGAACTCACACTGCCGCTTCGATGCGAGAATACAGACTTCCTCCTACGAGGTTCTGTTTCAAGTTTGATCCCATCTTGTGCCGATGGTGTTGCGCTGACTCGGAGTTGTTTCCTTGGTCGCTCTCTTGATGTGCGGCTCTGGCTTTCTGGGGCGAAAGGGTCTTCATCCTCTTCGCGACTGCGTTTGGTGGGTGTTGGTGCCGAAGTCGGGGTAGAGGAGGAAGTGGACATGCTCGATAGGGAGAGTCGACCGACGCCAGCGGCGAGAGATTTGGAAAGTCGAGAGAAGAAGCCGGTGGTCTGGGCAACCGAGGCGTTAGGTTGTGATACAGGTGGAGTCTGTGAAGTTTCGCTAGTTGCGCCATTAGGCATGCTCGCATTCCTTCTAGATAGCCCCGGAGTAGTGTTCACAGTCGAAGTGGCGCTATCGGTTTGCCGTCGTCCAGGTATCACCACCACCGGTTGGGAACTCCTGCGGTGATGTTCCTTCTGAAATGGCGACATATCCTGTGCTTTAGACTGAGGTTTGGGCTTCTTAACACTCTTCTCAACGTGGGATGTCTCGGCATCGCTAGTTGCGTCCACCACCTCAGCTGAGTTCTGCGTCGTCCCATTCGCAGTAAACCCTGACTCGTTCTTCTGCACGGCCTGGAGTAGAGATAGACCCATGGCAAAAGCAACTTTCCGGTCCACACCATTGCCAACGATCTTGTATTGCTCCGGAAGCGAACCAATGATGGGCTCCTCATCCATGTATCCTTGCGTCCGACGAGCTTCCAATACACTGGTAGATCGATGTTGATCCCAATGCAATGTAGCACCATTTCGGGAATCTCGGATGACTATATTTGTCGTAATAGTCGGTACCAATCCAGCTGCTTTGATCCTTCGATAAGCTTTTCCAATGTCTGTTCTGGGATCTCGTAGTGAAGTCGGGATAAGGCCACGTTGGTCCGCTTCTTTGTAGCCACAACCTGGAGGCTGCCGTGGAATGCATCTGACCAGTGCACGTTGCTTGCGTGTTGGTAACTGGCCTAAGCGGTGATCGGGGAATGGAATACAGGTTTGGACAATACCGTTGCCAATGTCGGGTAATCCCGCATCGACGGACATCGCTGGTACATACGGAAAAGGCGTTGGGTAATGCTCGCGTTCACCAAATTTCTGTCCGTTGGGTAAATAACCTAAGCTTCGTCCCGCCGTCTCCTCGTAAGGCCGCGCGTGGGTGTGCCAAGGTTGGGCAATTGGCTCAAGTCCAGGTGCAGCTATGGTGAGGATCAGGCGTGAACGCTGTTGCGCGCTGCCGTAACTCCAAGCGTCCATGATGTACTGATTACATTGGTATCCCATCGAGACTAGAGAAGCAACCACCTGAGATAGGACATTCTGATCTTCAAATCCAGTCCGTGTTGAAGCCATGTTGACGACGTTTTCGAGTATACCGTACAAAGGGCGGTATAGATCTACATACGAGCAGAAGGTGCTAATATGTGATGCATTCTTCAAGGACTGCGGACTGAGAATATTGTGCTGAAGAGCTGAGAACCCAGGACATGGCGATCCAGCAGCAAGGAAGTCGACCTCGCCGACTCGCGGAACAAGGTCAGGTTTGGCACCCTTGAGAGCTGCGTCGAAGTGATCATCAACAGATCCACAGAACAGATACATCGTCTCCGGGCTCTTCGAGTTTGCCCGTTGAGTGTGTATGGCATGGGGACTGAAGTCAACAGCAGAATGAAAAGTGACTGCTCCGCCCTCCTCAAGACCTCGATCAAGGGAGCCACCACCACTGAAGATGCTCATTCCTATCAGTGATTCAGGGGAAGTCATGTCGGGGCCCTCATTGAAGCTCTTGGGAAGACATCGTAGGAAGATAAGGCTCTGCTCTCCGTCCTTGCTGCCCAACCCCATGGATAGAAACCAGAGATCGCCCGCACCGCCGCGATTGTACGTGAAAGGTATCCGTCCAATCTGGACGTCAGACTTAGTCACAAACTTGACGAAACAACGTCGCTGGATGCGGGATGCGGACACATCTTCGTTTTCGTCCGTAAGGACCAGCTCATTGGCCAAGACATTTGAGCGCCGAGCTTTGATTGCTAGTTCTCTACAGTCGCGTTCCATTCGTAACAGCCTTCGCACTCTGACAGTCCCTTTGGCGTGATCGATGTATTGGAAGACGACTGGATCCAGAAACTTGTCTCCGTTCCGGGTCCTTGCCAGATATACCGTGTCGCCTCGACGGTAGTTGTCGACGGATGTGCCCTTTTCCTTCCGACACGTGCAAGTCTTGTGTGAAGATCGAAGGCTGACAAAGGCGCTGTCTTGGGTGACGTAGGTTTGGCGAACGAAAAAGCGCTCAGCGTCGATAGTGGAAGGCGACCAGTCTATATCGTATCTTCCCTTGATATCCGTGGATAACAGCTCTCCTTCAGAGCAGTTGCAGTTGTCGGATAAGAAGACTTCGTTCGTGTAGGGGTATTCGGCCTTGAAAATGTTCGTCTCGTGATGTCTATATATCCATAGCACAAACAACCTCTGGGTCCCGTCCGTCAAGGCCTCGGTACCTTGAACGTATGCAAGCCATTCCCAGGTCGTATTGCGCCAAACGGTTGCGTCTGCCTCGTCAGGAATCAAGGCTACGACGTCGCCAACCTTCACTGGCGAGTTACCATACGGTCGACAGATGTTCCGTCGCGGAGTAGTCGGTTGCCGTGCCCAGAAACTCTGCGCAAACCCCAGTCTCCTTTTCCTGCGCTCCTGTTGTATCCTGACCATGTCGGTAGGCCGTTTTGCCTGTATCTGCTCACCAAAGTACATGTGCTTGAAGCAATCGTATACCTCTGGCGTAGCAATGGTGTGCTCGATGATCTGCTTCTGCGCTTTCACCGCTGTCAAACCTTTGGCCATGCACTCGCTCCAAAGCGGATGAGCAAGCAGCTGTTTCGAGTTCGGAAGGTTGAACGCTTGGTTGTAGAAGTATTCGATGTAAGCGTGTACGGCGACGCGAAAGTCAGACTGATGTCTGAACGCAGTATGCCATTGCTGGAAGTCGGCACAATGACTAAAACGAGGCGAGAGCCATTGATAGAAGTCTTCGCGGAAGTTGTTGAGCCCGACTGATCCTACGGGTTGACTGTCCACGTAGTCGATAATATGCTTTCCTAGCTGCGCTACCCAGAGGAACGATTTCTGAAACTCTTTGTAGCCAGGAGCAGGCTTCGCAAGTCTGTACCATATGTCGTAGTGCTTGTCCCTACTGGCCGCAAACGTAGACTGTATGTATGTATTAACACCAGAGTTCTCATCGTCTCCGTAGCCCTCGACAGAGCTATCCTGAATGGGTACTGCATGCACGTAGTGTTTGGTCGATCCCACACAGATGAAGCCATCAAAGCATAATTTCTTCGCAATCGAGACCTCCAGATAGTGCAGGCTCGTCAACTCATACGCCCTGCACTCGCTCTCTGGTGTTCGATAGATCTCGTAGTCTTGCAGGTCCACAATCAGAACTTGCTTCTCGGATCTCGGCCCATCGTACACAGGCTCTTCGCGGGATTGCTTTCTCCATTCGTACTTCAAACTTCGTAGTGCTTCCGATTCGGGCGTTACAGGTACGGGCGGAGACCAGTTGGCGACATGTGATCTGGCGAAATCACTCAACGCCGGCAAGGTGATTTTCGGTTCGCTTCGTGGTCTTGGTGAGCTGTCCTGTGCGCTTTGCCTCCTCTTCTTTGGGTCTGGCGTTTCTACCGTAATGTTGTCACCGATTGTCGCATCCATCGTGCGCTCGCAATGGGGGTGTGATCCTCGGCGAGATTTCGGTGCATGCGTGAAGTGTCGCGCGCGTAGTAAGAGAGACAGAAAACCGCTCGACGATCGAAACTGCTATCTCTCCCTTTCTCCCTAGGCAGCATTCGTAATGATTGAAGAACAGTGAATGCGGTGGTGACGGTGACTCTTGCAGCTGTGAATTCCTCCTCTTGCAATCACCGCGACCAACAAAGGTCATCAACGCGTCGCGTGTCAAACACCCAGCCACAATAAAAACAAGACAACAGAACACCAGGTCAAAC